ATCTTTGATATTTTACTGTAGAAAAGTCAAATTCATAAGTGTGACTAGGGAGAAAGTCTGTGATGGTACGTGTTAAAGTCAGACTTGTTAGTGGTCTTAAAATTACTGTGGCAACATTTTTCAATGGCAAGGAACTGAAGTCTGTTCATTGCATCGTTCGTCAGGAAACACACTGTGCTAAGATATTCATAGATATGATAATTAAAGCTGTGTACCAGACATGCTCAGAAGTCCAGAAATACAGAAAAGCCAGGGCTTTGCATGCTGAATTGGATTCACAGTGTGATAGTTTGTTACATTCCATGCATACAGCAAACAACATTAGAAATGAACAAAAGGAACACATACACAGTGTGAGTTCAAGTGTTCCAACTCAAGGTGGGTTATTGAAATGGTTAGTAGGCTTCCTGGGGGAGTGGTTATAACTTCTCCTATGTCTGCTCTTGAACTTACTGCTTCCACTTATGGATTTTGTACCACCCATTATATCATAGATCTTTTGGTTGCAAGTGTAAGAACATGCATTCAAACAAATATAGGCAAAAGTGATGTGTATTGGTTCATGGAATATGATAAAGGGTTTTACAATGAAATCAAAGCAGGGCAAGAATGTAGCTGGCCCTCTGGGACATCAGGAACCAAATTAAATGGGTTTTACTGTATCTACCGCTTGTCTCTGTTCATTTCTGTTTGTGAGAGGAAATAGGGCCAGAAACATAGCCATGAAAAACTTCTAGATTTTCTCTCTTACACATTTTCTTGGATTAAGTTAGAAAAATCCCAAGGTAGTTTTTGATGGGCTTGGAATGGACCCATCAAATATAGTCAAGGGCAGGATCACGGTAGTCATTTTAGTTGAAGCACAAGGAGGAGCAGTTACCTCTAGGTAGAGGTGGTTCTCAGAAGAGAGAAAGTTCTGGGAAGGAAGAAAACTCTGGTCCATTCCAGCCATCCTCACTACCTCTCATCTACTTGCTCCTCCCAAACCTATCAGCCAGTGTTTTCCCTCTACCTTTATAACTCAAATTTTCAGGCTAGCTTCTCTTTCAATTACCATAAGTCTATTTCTAGGGCTATCCTCTAATATAAATTTTAGTTGTTCATTTTCAAGAATCATCTGGTGTTTTTCAACTAGATGACATGACGTCAACCCAGTTGCATTAGGTTCCAAACCACATTTACCATATTCCCCAAACTCAATCCAACTTCCTTTTCAATTTCTTTTTTGTTAGTGATTTTATCATATTACAGCACACTCATCCTCTGAAAACTTCCTTGATTCTTCCTTTTCTACCAACCACCATATCAAGGCACGAGTTGATAATGTTTTTCAAAAGCTCTCTTATCCTTTCTCCATTCCCACTACCCCACCCTAATTCAAATCTTTCATTGCAGTTGGAGTGCAAATGGCTCAAACCTTTTGCCTCCTCCTCTTCAAGTCAATATTAGACAACCCTATTTAAGGTTCTGGTAATACCATTAACATGAACAAGCCTCAACTCTATAGAGTTTAGAAGAAAAATATTTGTAAACTATTTATCTGATAAGTGCTTAATATCCAAAATATATAAGTAACTCATACAACTCCATAGCAAAACCCAGAAGCCAAGCAACCTGATTAAAAAATTGGCAGAGGATTTGAATAGACATTTTTCAAAAGAAGATACACAAATGGCCAACGAGTACATGAGAAAGTTCTCATTACTAGTTATCAAGGAAATGTAAATCAAAACCACAACGAGATACACTTTCACACCTGTTTGAATGGCTATGTCAAGAAGATGAAAGATAACAAATGCTGGTGAAGATGTGGAAACTTTGTTCACTATTGGTGAGAATTTAAGTTGGTATAGATACCATGGAAAACAGTATGGAGGAGTTTCAGAAAATTACAAAATATACATATCAGATGATCTAGCAACCCCACTTCTACATATATATATGTGAAGAAGATGAAATCACTATCTCAAAGAGCTATCTGCATTCCCTCTGTGTTCATTGCAGCATTATTCATTATATATAGCCAAGACGTGGAAACAACCTGAGTGTCCATCAACAGATAAATAAAATGTGATATATATTTTTCAGCCATAAAAAAGAAGGAAACCCTGTCATTTGCAACAACATGGATGGACCTTGAGCGCATTATGCTAAGTGAAGTAAGTCAGAGAAAGACAAATACTGTATCATCTCACTTATATTTGAAACTGAAAATCACTGAACTCATAAAAACTGAGAGTAGAATGGTGACTGCCAGGGGCTACAGATCAAACTCCTACAAATAAATAATAGACAACTCAATATAACAAGGGCAAATAAATTGCTTACTTTAAAATAGAAGATATACAAATGGCCAAGAAGCACATAAAAATGAGATGCTATCCACCCCCACTAGAATGGGAATGGCTAAAATTTCAAAATACCGACAATAAAAAAGGTTTACGAGATTGCGGAACAACTTCCCCACGTTGTTAATGGGAGCATAGAATGCCGAAATCATTTCGGAAAACTCTTTAGCAGTTATTTGTAAAGTTAAACATACATCGACTTTATGACACAGTAATTCCACTCCTAGGTATTTAAGAAAAATGAAAATTATGGCCACAAAAAGATGGATTCAGGAATGTTTAGAAAACCTTTATTTATAATAGCCCCGAACATAAACAATGCAAACGGTCACCATTAGTGAGTGGATAAACAAGTTGTGACTCGCATACTACGTAGGATGAATCTCGAAAACGTTATGTTGAGGGAAAGTAGAAAAAGCAAAAGAGAGTTTACTCTGTGAGTCTATACGAGAACAGGCAAAACTAATCAATGGGAAGAAATGGGTATCGTGGTTACCCATAGTAAGTGGGTGACAATTGACTAGAAGAATCCTGGAACTTTCTGTACCGGTGGAAATTTCATGTATCTTATTTGGGGTCTTGGTTACGTACGTGTATACATTATCACACCTCACCAAGTTATACATTTAACATCTGTGCATTTTGCTGTGTGTAATTTTTACCTAAAAGTGAAAAAGTACTGTATGTGAATATTGAACTTTAGTCGTTTTGCATTTCGCACTGTTATAGGATAGGAATTCTGAAACCACGTGTTCTGTATTCTGGTTATTAGCTCATAATTGAGTATAAATGGAGCATATTTCTTAGAGAACAGAATTTGAAATATGTAAAAAAGGAACACTAAAGTGAGCCATATATAATTGGGTTGGAACTAGAGGCATCAGTATAGGGTGGAAGGCGGAGAGGGGAGAGAAATAGAGATCAATGTGAATAATGGGTAAATCTGGGTAAAGAGTATACAGGCATTCTTGCAACTTTCCTATAAACTTGAAATTGTATCAAAATATAACGTTAAAAATAAAGCCACAGAGGCAGTAAAATGTAATGGGACCCGTCCAGAGAGAACTTATACAAAAAGAAGGAAAACGAAATAGGAGAATGGCCTCAAATTTTTCCTTTATGATCACGTTCCTCCAAGAACTCCAGGGGAAAGCAGAATTCGAAGATCGTAATAGAGTTCAGTGGGAGGGTCATGTCACCAAGGTCAAGAGAAAGGGCATCTAGAAAGGCGGTTGTCAACATTGACTGCACTCTGGAATCACCCAGGGAGCTTTAAAACATGGTGCCTGCCTGGGTTCCCCCTCCAGAGATTCGATTTCAGTGACCTAGTATGTCACCTGGGCACTGAGCTTTTTTCAGAGCTTTCCAGGTGATTTTAATGTGCAGCCAAGAACGGGGACCCCCCCCACTGCCTTGAGGGGAACTTCAAGGACAACTTTGGTGTACACCAAGGGAAGGAAAACAGACGAAGTTGCAATTTGTAGCTATTGGAAGTGAAAAAAAGGTAAAATTGGGAAAAATGAAGGGAGGAATTGGAGTCCTCAAGGCCAGGTGCCCGAGGGGAGGATGCAGTTCTGTATGTAGCAGCACCCTCAGCTAGCAGAGCTGGGAGCCTGTGTCCGTGACCTGCTGTGCCTTTGAAGTCCGTCAAGGTCTATGTCTGGAATGCCCTTTTCTCTGCCGGACCTTTTAGGGTCTGATTGGAGGAAAGCCTTCCTGGCTAGATTCCCGTGCAGGCAGGCAGGCAGGCAGGCAGGCAGAAAATGCCAAATCACTACAAACATGTCTTTTAGCTAGTCTGTTTTGGCAGGTTCCCCAGCTAGATTGACCAGTGCTCAGTATGAGGCAAAGTACTGTCTTCGAGGCAACCGGGGCGGAGCCAGCAGACACACACAGGGCGCTGATGTCCAATGGAATATTAGTCATAAAAAAAGATGAAATATTGCCATTTGCGGCAACATGGATGGTCTTGGGATTATCACGCTAAGCGAAATAAGTCAGACCGAAAGGGTTGAGGATCACATGATTTCACTTATATGTGGGATATAAAACTGAAAGCAACAAACGAACAAGACAAGTAGAGGCTCATGGACACAGACGACAGTTCGCCAGAGAGAAAGAGAGGAGGTGGGAGTTAGTTAAGGGTAAAGGGGGTCACATATACGGTGACGGAATGAGATTTGATCTTGGGTGAACACAAGGCAATAGGCAGATGATGTGTTATCGAATTGTACACTTGAAACCTATATAATTTTATTAACCGGTGTCATCTCAGTAAATTTTATTTAAAAAGTAGGTGTAGCAGTCCTGTGAAAAGCTAACCATGTTGAGATTTAGATATTATTTTGAAGAGCTGATTTCTCATGGTTGGGCTCATACCAAGCACTAAATAAGCCACAGTACACAAAGCGTCACACCGAGGACCTCACCTCAATTTGTTCACTTTTATCAAAACAAACCCGGGAAACCAATACCATTCTACTTGCCTCGGCCATGCATAGAGCTTTATTATTTTATTCTTCCGTGGGCGAGTCCCTGGATGGAGAGTGGAGAGACTCTCAGCTGTGGTTTACTTAAGCAGCTGGAACGGGCTTCCAGAGGCTTCGGAGCCGTCGGAGCGGTCTTCACCAGGAGCCCGTTCTGCGTCCACGCTCAGCATCGATCTGGCACCAGCGGATCTGCCTGGTGCTCCGCTCCCACCGTGAGCCTGGTCCGAGCCCAGAGCAGGATGGCGTCCACAGCCGCCCTCAGCTTGGCATTGCCTGAGATCACGATGGCCGCGTGCCCCGAGGGACAGGCTGCCATGATCCCCACACAGATCATGACCCCAATCTTGTTGTGCCACAGTATCAGTAAAGGCATCGAGAGGAGGGCAGCGCAGAGTGACACCACGTAGAGGCAGAGGAAGGAGACGAGAGACTTGAGCGCTTTGACGTGGGCCTCCAGGCTGGGGTCCCGGGAGTCTCTGGTTTTGGCCCTCATCGTCCTCATGTGCTGCCACAGGGAGACGATCAGCACCCCAGAAGAAACCGCAAAGCACAAGAAAGGCGGGACGGATCCCAGGCTGCAGAAGAGGAAGGAATGAAAGAAACCGAGATTTTTAATTTGCAGGTGGAACTCTGTATCATTATTCATGAAAAGCATAGCTGTGCCTGTGAAGTGAGAGCTGCTAAAATAGTCCCAAGAACAGATGACGGTGCAGACGGTGGTGAAAAGGGTTGTACCCAGGAGCATCTGGGGCATCTTCCTGGAGACCCACTTTGCCAAGCAGAGCAGGAAGGCGCGGGAGAAGCGGACGATCTTGGAGCAATAGAGGAGACTGAGGCACGTGGCGAACCAGAGGCCAGCTTGGTTTGCGACCATCCAGAGCATGACGATGGTTTGGTAACTGACACTCAGCGGGTCTTTCATCTGCTGGAAATGGGTAAGCTGGATGGCATACAGAAACAGCAGCACATGCAGGAAGAGCCGCGTGAGGCTGAGGCTCAGCAGGACAAGGTCACAGTTGCTCAGGGGCTGCCTCCTCACTACGTCCCGAAAATTCACCAAGAAAATGAAGGCATTGGCCAGAATCCCCACCACAAACTCCAGGATCGAAAGGCACAGAAATGCGCGCTTGGCTTCGTAGGACACAGTGACGACGGGAGTCAGCATCAGCATGGTGTCTCTTCTCACGTGTCCGCCCTCGCTCTCACATACCAGCCAGGAGAGAAGAGAAAGCGTACGTTCCGAGCCAGGACCTTTCCCTTCACAAGACACTCGACTCTCGCCCTAGTGACAAGAAAATTCTGGCAGGAAACGTCGAGGGATAGTGTCGCTTTAAAACTGGATACACACAAAGGATCATTGTTGAGAGTAGGAGAATAATGGTTCTATCTCTCGGGTGATGCGGAAGCTTATAAGAAACCAGATGTTTCTGTGTGACAGCCTCTGCGGGGGATCACGGCACAGCACCACGGATGCAAACGAGAGAGATCTCAGTTACCCATGCCCAGTTTTGCATGCATGGGTGGAGAAGAGAGAAGGATTTGCTTATGGGTTTTAAGAGAACTGGCAGCAGGCAAAGCATATATTTTCAAGGAATTAAGGTTTGAAATGGTGCCTCTCTCCATTTGCATGCCTTCCGTCACCTCTGAGGCATGACTCTTATTACAGACTTTGTCTTCAATAAGGACAAGTGCACGGTTCCTCCCCAGGCACCAGCACGTGGCTGGTAGGACGGCCATCACCAAAGATGTCATTCAGCCATCATTGTCATGCCGGGCACTGTGCTTGGCAAGGGGAGCATTTCCATGCACGAGGCCAGCACCTTCCCGTGAAGGGAGAGGATGGGGCGTATCTGGCTTGGATGATTACAGGAGGCTTTTACTTCCTGCTCTGCTTCCCAGCCCACTCCCTGACCCTACTACCCACAAAGCAACAGTAGCGATCCCGTGAAAATATAACCAAGATCACGTCTGTGCTTTGCTCAAACCTTTCAGGGCCTCTCACCGTAAAAGCTAAGTCCTCACCGTGGCTCGTAGGTCTCACATACATAATCGGGACCTCTGTCCCCTCTCAGGTGTCATCGGTGGTTCTTGCTCCATCCTTCACTCAACCCCAGCCACATGGGCTTCTTTTATGTCCTGTGATCTCACCAGGGGCCGTCCCACCTCAGGACCATTGCATCTCACTTCCCGCTGCCTGGATGCTTTTCCTCTACGTGCTCCAGTGCCTCACTGTCTCCTCCAAAGGACCCCTCAAAAGACACCTGATCAGAGACACCTTCCCTGAACATCCCATGAATGGCGTTTCTTACCTACATGTTGAGTGCTTCTTATGGTCCTTAACCTATTGCATATTTCCGCATATATTCAGTTATTGGTTGCCTCTACCCACCCCTCACTAAAAATGTAGGCTTTGTGAAAGCACAGAACAGGTACTCAGCAAGCATGTTTTCAATGAATGGAATTTTTACAAATGAAGCATTTAGTAGCCTGTAACATCCTCATGGATTATACCTAGAACATCTCTGAACATTCCTAGGGATTGTAGTCTAACATACTTGGCTGTAATTCCTGGTCTAGCTTTCTCCCCTCTTAAACATTTCAATATTTGGTGAGCTCTAGCTTTCCAGCCTCTCTAATTTGTCTATATCTCCAAAGGAACGTGGACTGATTTAATGTTCACTTCTGCGAGTTTTAGAAAAATTCGGGCTAGTTACTCAACGGAGATTGGACGAAAACTGATCATTTAGAGGCTGGATGCTGTTTATAACATTCGCTGTTGATCTGTGCCTGCCTCTACTCTCTTACAAATGCCTTAACTTTTCCGATTCTTTTATTATCGTCCTTCATGCTTCATTCACCGCTCATTTATTTTGTGGGATGGGTGCAGATGAAGGGAAAGGAGAAGCTGGACGGTTGGTCAGTGGGATGATCACGTTTTCTCTGAGGGGTGGAGCTTCCTCGCTTCTGCTCATCGGCTCGCTCAGCCTCCCGCTTCTGTGGTTCTGTTTGCCTAGTTCTGTAGTCTCACTCTGGGTGGTCTTCTCCCTCTGAGTGTGCTCGCAGGTCCAAGAAGGGTGCTCTGCGTTGACAGTGTGGGGCCTGGAACCAGGCTCCTACGGGTTCGGACCAGACTCTGCTCTTCCTCTCTGTGTGAACTTGGCAACTGATAAACCTTCCTCATTCACCTCATGTGGAATGGAGATGACAAACTAGCACCTACCTCAGAGGCCTGGGAGGGTTACGTGAATCGACACATGTAACGTGCTTGGAATTGTGCTTGGGACATGATGTCCAATTAATAAACGTTAGTTACAGAACCACCATATGATCCAGCAATCCCTCTTCTGGGTATATATGCAAATTAATGAAGTCGGTACCTGAAAGAGACGTCTGTGCTCCCATGTTCACAGCAGCCAAGAAGGAAACGACCTAAGTGTCTGGGATGGATGAATAAATAGAGAAACTGCAGTAGATATGTACAATGGAATGTTATTCACGATCTCCCCAAAGCGATCCTGCCATTTGCAATAACGTGGGTGAACCTAGAAGATGTTATGTTAAGTGAAATACACCAGACACCGCAAGAAGAATACTGCGTCGTCTCGGTTATAGGTGGAATCTAAAAAAGTGGAATTCATGGAAGCAGAGGGTGAAGCAGTGGTTTCCAGGGGCAGGGCGGTGGGGGAATGGGGAGGTGGCCGTCACAGGGCACAACGCTGAAGTTGCGTACGATGAGTAAGTTCTAGAGATCTAGCGTGCAGCATGGTGACTAGAGCTCATACGGTGTCAAATACCGGAAATTTGCGAAGAGAGTAGATCCCAGGGGCTCTCACCACACACACACGCACACGCACACGCACGCGCACACGCACACGCACACAAAGGTCACTGAGGAAGCAGATCTGTCAATTAGCTTGACAATATTCACTTGTGTATATCAAAGTATCATGTCGCACATGGTAAATATACACAATTTTTGTTAAGGAGAAAAACAAACGTTATAAGTAAATAACAATTACTTAATAAATAAGTTATAAATAAGTAATTACTTGATGAATAAATATAAATAAAATTTATAATAAGACAAAAAATATATGACCTTGAGGAATAAATGTAACAGGAAATACACAAGAAATCACTGAGAAAAATGATACGATTTATTAATAGATATTGAAGAAGACCTAAATAAATGTGTTTGGAGGAGAGAATAATAAATGTTCTTATTAGCACTGTTTTCGTGTGTTTGTCCTTGATGTCCTTCACCCTGTCCTCTTTCCTGCACAGCCCTTTAAGATTTTTATTAATCTGAGAGTCATCCGTGTTGTTCCATTTGGTTCTGTAGCTATTCTGTCTTTTTTATATTTTCTTTTAGCTAAAGACTTTTCTATGTAAGTCATGTGACATAAATCAGTGGTTACTCAAAATGTTTGCTTCCGTTATATTCTAAATTGTTTATATACAATATTTAGATAGCCTTTAATTGTACATAATCACATAGCACAGATTTGATGTTGTATTTAGTTCATCATATTTGTGACCATCTTATTTGGGTCATTCATTCTTTTAAAATACCAATACTGAGACAGTTCTGTACTTTCCGCTTCTCGTCACCACGCCAGGTGGCAGTATTGTACTAAGGGTGTTTAGGAAAAGTGTTGCTTTTCTACTGTCCACATGGAAACCACCTGCTTCATTGCACAGGCAAAGATCTATGAACAAGGAGTTACAATCTCTTCTAACAAGATGAATCCCTTTTATATCTGGAATCAACAAAATAGTCGATCTGTGTTGATTTGTGGGGAGTATCAAATCCCACCATAATCTTTCAATAATCAAGAGCTTGTTCAGAGACAAGTAGCAACATCCCTCATGGGCATTCCCTGCTCCTTTCAGCTGGTGCACACACAGCGTTTGGGTTTATATAAACACTCTCCTGTGTGGGCCGTCTTCAGCAACTGGCTGTTTTTGAAAACCGATCTACTCAGGAAGCTCAGAACAGCTAAATTAATTGCAATGCTAACTAAGAGCCGGAGCAGAGAAAACAAAAACAAAAACACCTCATCAAATGTGGTAAAAAATGGCAGTCATTTTAATTTTGCAAATAAATAGATGTTAACATTGCATGAAACATATAAATGTGTGTTTGTTTGGAATTTTGCTGCCTTTTTTTTTTTTTTTTGATATTTTACATTTGCTTTCCTAACAGGTTTTGTACAAGGCAGTCATGAGTAATATAATAAACCTTTTTCACCACAGAACCATCCACCACAGATAATACCGAGAGTTACACACTTAGGAACAGTCAGATCACAGACAAGATCAGACAGGCTGCCACCACCAAGTAAACAAATAGAAAATGACAGTGGGGTCTGAGGGTGGGGGTCCCCACCCTGTGGGTCCCCACAGTGATTAAATTCTTTGGTCTGATTTTTAAAAATTGCTATTGGCTAACTTGACAAAAACACTAGTAATAGTAATATGAAACCTTGTTCCTTTAGGATTCCTTGCTTAAATGTTTCCAACAACTTGCTTAAATATAGCCAATGACTATATTAAAATTCAGGGATCCCCAACCCCTGGACTGTGGACTGGTACCAGTCCGCGTTCTGTTAGGAGCCGGGCTGCACAGCAGGAGGTGAGCAGCTGGCGAGCAAGTGAAGCTTCATCTGTGTCTGCAGCCGCTCCCCAGTGCTGGCATCACCGCCTCAGCTCCACCTCAGATCATCAGGCAATAGATTGTCATAGGAGCACCGGTCCCTGGTGCCAAAAAGGTTGGGGACCACAGTATTAAATGACATTTATTAAGAACAAAATGTATTTCAGAAATTGTGATGGGCACGTGAAGACACCAAAAGGTATAAGAGGAATGAAGGAGCATGGAGGGGTAGCACAGGCCTGGTGGAGGGTGGAGAGCGAGCTGTCCAGAGACATCATCTCACACCTGATAGAACGGCTATTACTGAAGAGACAAAACAAGTGTCGGTGAGGATGTTTGTGGAGAAAAGTTCCAGTGCCCTCTTGGTGGGAATATATATCAGTGCAGCCACTATGGGAAACAGTATGGAGAAGTCTCAAAAAATTAAAAAATAGATCTACCATAGGATCCAGCAGTTCTACTTCTGGGTATTTATCCAAAGGAAATGAAAACAGCATACAGAAGAGATATCCACA